GATACGAGGAGCAAGTCAAAATAAACCCATCGCCCGAGCCCGGATAGATACGCTGTTACTTGTCACACACGCAGAGAGGTTGGGAGAGGCTACTACCATCAATCGATCTGAGCACCTCATCAGGCAACAGGTAGGGTTTCCGCCCCGCGTCTGGCCCCGCGTTACACCTGTCAAAATGGCAAGTAAACAACAAATGAATCTTCCGCTAGAATGCGGGAATATACATGCTTTCCCTTACACCCCTTCTTCATATCTCGAATGCACCTGGCGCTGAACCCGGCCAGGTTCATTCCCACATCTAATCAGTTGTTCCTCTGTGCGCAGCCTACGTTTAATACACCATAGAATCTACACCCCCCTCCCCTAAATCTAACTCTACTAACTAAATCACACTACTCCAAAACCTCATCCTTGCCGCTTCATTCACTCGATTTCATAAGGAATCGAGTGAGCTTTCGTTATTTCTCCCGTTCGGCATAGCCTTCTTCGCGCTGCCCACTTCTTTTCTATCTCCTCTTCTACTGACTCTTTACTAAAACTAACATCAGATCTAGGTTCGCCCCGCCCAGAAAAGCTAATCTACCATCTTCTTTCACTCGATTCCATCGAAAATCGAGTGAAATCTCGATTCTTCACTCCTTCCTCTTTTTTCCCATCGCCATATCCCGGCGCACCCCGTTTCTTGCTACCCTCCCAGTCTACTAACCCAATCATCAAACTAACACCGCCATCGGATTCGCCCTAACCAAAATCCTCTATCCCGAGCTCTGCCGTACTCGATTCCACTACGAATCGAGCGGTATCCCAACCTATGCCCTCACCTTACTTACCTTCCTGCCATATCTTAGCGGAGCCCTTCCTCTTACTAACTCCTTCCCCACTCTCTTACTCCTCCTTTGGACTTCACCATCGTGGTCGCCCCACCCAAGAATCTATGTCCCCACCCTTTTCCCGTTCGATTTCACTAAGAGATGGGCGGGGCACACGTTTCCCCCCCCCCCCCCCCTGCCCACCATCGCCATCTCCAACTCTACCTCCGAATGCACGTGGTGCAGGCCCGCATCCAGGTTCATTCCCCCATTTTCACTTGCCCTGTCACTGTCGCACCCGTCGCTCCTCCCGCTTGCCCCGCTCGCTAGCCTCCTCCTCCGCTCCGGCTCCGTTCCTATATCCGCCCTGGCTCACTCACCTTCCCCGCATGCATCCAGCACGATACCCCATCCGAGTCCATCCCTTCTTCACTTCTTTCGCGCACCCAGTACGACTTCACGTCCGGGTTCACCTCTCACTTTGCTATCTCCGCCAACGCAGTAGTGCGCCAGCGGACTCACCTGTAGCTTTCCCCGACGGCCTCCGTCACAGTGCTGCCGACCCGCCTCGCCCAGGCACAACTTGCCTCCCTTGGGCCCGAAAGGACACGCTCCCACACAAACTGCAGGTCGTGGGATCAAAGACACAGGCTCAACGCGGGCCTACAGCACGCGCCTTGGTGAAGCAGGGCCCTGTGCGCGTCTCAGCGGTAGGCGCAGATACTTTAACGGAAACCTTGAAGCCCAAAATGGAGGGGAGTCCCGCGGGCATATTCACACCCAAACCTCACACGGCAGGTCGTGGTTGGCAAGCGATGCCTCGGCAGGGGGTGCCTTCTACTCAAGTTCCTTCCGTCTCGTGGACTAATCACCCGCTCGCTCGCATGCGCGTCGAACTCCTTGGTCCACGCGTCAAGTCAAAAAAAATGTTGACAGCATTCCGAACACGCGGACTCCACATGGCTCGCCAGCCAATGCGCGTGCTCAAGGTCCTCGGCTGCTGCGACGACTAGGAGCTAATCTATTAACAGCAGTAAATAATAAAATACTTAGGAAAATCCCAAGTGTCACAATACGACGAATGGGGAACAGGAAAATAATAAAACCGTCCCAACGCCGCCGACGGCAAAATAAAGGGGAATAGCCCCGTCGGACCCTCAACCCCTCAGCCTCCTCGCGCCGCCCTGATATCCTCACGTCGTCGTCGCTCGACCTCGATCACCGAATCTCGCAGATAAAAGTCTGATGCCGTAACCAATAATGTTAGGCCCAAGTCGGGGTCTAGCTCTGGCAGACGCCTAAAATAAAACGGACACTGCGCGACGCGTCGACCTACCAACACGCCTTCAGAAATCACATTGTTGTCGATGCCGCCCTCCGTACGTACGCCTAGTTATGGGCAGATGCCCCAACCGACGGACGAAATCTTTTTAATCTTAGTTCAAACAAAATAATAATAATAATAATAATAATAATAATAATAATAATAATAGACATCTGACCGACGATCGCGCCGGCTCTTTAATCATCAATAATTAAAATGATCACGCGCGCCTCAAAAATCCGCGCGCCCACACACTCTCTACTCTAACCAACCATCCAGTTAACATAAATTACAGATGCAGTCGCGCCTAGCGCGGTATACCTAAACTTAAAACCAAACTTCATTTCTGTCGCTTGCAAAAACCAGGGCGGATACCCTTGTAAGGGTATTCACACCGACATTAAGCGACATCCCTGTCGCTTCGCAAAATCGAAAAGCTATCAGATCACCCAAGATGCTGACGAAAGAGGGACCAATCCGATTAGCCGACAAACACAGGGTAGAGACCTCCATCAAACCATGCCTCCACAACTATATGTTGTCAGGTTTCTAACCGGAGCTCTCGCCGCCCCGACATTAGGACACTTACAACATAAGTTCCAAAGACCTTCCCAGTCATCCTCTCCCCGGTCCTAGACAACCTTCGGCTTCTCATTGGGTGTCCCTAGTCCTGGCCAAAACTAGGGACGCGGACCCTAACCGAGACCTTTGAAGACACTCTCGCCTTCCTTCTCAGAGAATCTCTCGCAATCAAATACACATATGTATATTTGTATACTTGATATCCACTCAGCTCTTTCTCCAGTCTAGTACAGAAAGGCTAGGTCTCCATCTTGACCCACCATAGCCTGGCTGATCGGACCAGGACTACGGCCCACCGCATTGTTACTTTAGCGGCAATACCCTCGTTGGTTACGCAACGATAGGTTTTCTCTTGATACGCATCCAATCAGGAGTTCCCAAAAATTATCAACCTTTACTACCCCACAGAGTAATTTCCCTGGGGCGGGCAACTCCCCTTAAACTCTTACTTCGCGGTCCCGCAGCCAGGTTGCACCGGCTAGCAGCCATCCACTGGGGTTACGCCCTAGAGGTGCTAATCTTTACCTCTTAGCTTGGTATTCCCCTACTATGTCCCAGAATTAGCACAAGTGGTTAGACGGAGCATCGCAAAACTAATCACGGACCCACTCCGAGATTACGTAAGGGTCTGAAGACATTTACCAGCTCTCCCACGAAAGGCATGGCATCCTTCGCACAATCACAAACAAAATCCGCTAGGTCCACAAGGCCGTGACCCCTGACTTGATCAGAGCCAGCAGCCACCCATCCTGAGACTTTTCTCACCCTGCACTCTTCTGCGACTTTCTCAGACATCTCAAGCAAACATGGTCCCTTTTCGTCAGACTTTATCAACTGAAACACTGCTTACCATGCCCTTAAATCTATTAACTACCTTTCACACCAAGGAGGTCTCTCTCAATAGGTCTCCCAACCATCCCTCTTTTCCTAGGATGAGCTATCACACGACCCTTTTTAAAACATCCCGCTTTTTTGGGGGGGGGGTGAGTCTTCCGATAACTAATATTACCACCTTCCTTAATCTGAAGGGGTCTCAATCACAGAACAACTCAAATTAAGAGGCCTACTTATGGGTCCTCTCCACAACTCAACCATGAACCAATTCAACAGAGGGGCCTACTTATGGGCCCTGTTTGCGACCTAACCATAAAACACCCGACATGGTAAGTATTCAAGTCTCAGAGACTCGCAAAATCCCCTAGGATTCTCACACTTTTGTCACACAAACAAATTGCACTGCCTCTCCTTATACTCGGCCCTATTACACGCCCGTGGGCAGATCGCACGAGTATACCGGAGAGTAGACAGTTCACATTCATTCATTCTCACAAAATCCACACAAAATCATAATTTATCAGGATAAAGTCCACACATGTGAGAGTGATTGTGATCGTCATATACAAAAGACAGTCTTGGATAAGGCCTCAACTCAATATATACACAGGGTACAATACCCCAGCTCAAACGCGAGTCAAATGTCTCAAATTACATATATACACTCGGAGTTAAACAATCTCAACTCAAATCGCCACTGGTATCACACAAGAACAAAAGCGGTCTCCCTGACCAAAGCTATAGCTAAAACAATTTGATCACGACGTAACCATACTTTTCAATCCGAGGGACCCAAGCAATCCTGGACATATCCAGATATCCAAAGAAAAGTAAGGCTAGGAGTCGCCCATGCACCAGTCATGCAACTTCCTCCCTAGGCTAGATGGCCTATCTCCCTGACGTTGAGGTTCCTTCCCAAACCTCCCCTACTTCTCACACCATACGTCTATCTAGGCCTAGGCACGACGTAGGTCCCATATCTCCTTCTCTCGATCAGTAGGCCTTAATGGAACAAATCCCTACCTCGTAACAATACCCTCAGGGTCACTCCTTGCCGCATCTACTTGAGACATTCCAATAACATGATATGAGGCAGACCTAACATACCCCATATATACAATTATTCTATTGGGGTTCCTCCTGCCTACAACTCGAGCTACCTTACCGGATCATTTCTATGAAAATCTCTTCCCTCTGTACGCTGTGTCTATCTACAACAGCTATACGATTGGGATTTCTCACTTGCATTTATAGTTCGCTTAAATTTCCAAGCCCTTCTCATACAAACTCTTCTTCCTCACGACCATATTCATGAGGCAGTGCTCGATGCTCTATCGCGCCGCAAAGCCTCCCTCCGTGTTCCCCCTGGGATGGTTGGGTCGATATACTTCCCGGCCCTATCGAATACATTTCCTTCAATATCAGTCTTTATTAGACCGCTTGCCTCATCGGCCCTCCGTTCCCGACAAAACTTTATTATGTGCCCCTCCTTGGCACAATGTCTGCAAATGTCCTTTTCCAGACCCATTTTCTTTCCGCCAGAGCCACCCTTGCTGCCACCGCGTCCCCTTTTTCCATGCCCCTCATCCCTACAACCCCTTTCAGCCTTTCGCTTTTGGCCCCTTCCACCAGCCACTTGGCCTTCCGTCGCTCGTGGCATCGGTGGCTGCAATGGCCCCATACACAAGGCTGGCTGAAACTGGGCTGCAGGAGGCCTGGGTGGCATCATACCCATTTGTGGGTCCAAACAAACGCCTTGTACACAGGGCAGATATGAATTATATATTGGCCTTGGTCCCACCTGACCGTATGGTGTCCATGGCCCGTATAATGCCTGCTCAGTCGATGGGGGGCCCGCCTGTGCCGGCTTTCCTCCCAATTCTTGTGGGGTGGCCCCTCCCTGCGGCACACCCTGCCCCTTTCCGGTACCTTGGCTCCCCTGGGCCCGATTCCTTGCCTTCCGCTGAGCCTTCGTCAACTTGGGAGGTTCAGGCTCCCCTTCTTCACCCATCACCCCCTCTTCCTTGTCTCCTTGAGGACCGCAACCAATCTTTCCCCAACGATCACATACCACTTCTGCCCAATGCTCTGGCCACCACTTACTCCTTCGCCTCTCCCGACCCGCAGCCGAGGGTGCCTCTCTGTCAATGGGCCCTCCCTTCGGCTCCGACGCAATAACGGGTAGGGTCATACTAGATTCTCGCTCCTCCTTAATCTCAATGACCCCCTCATCTTCATCTCTTTCTAGGACGCAAACTTGCCCTCTCGGGGTCTTCTTGTGGAGGAGTAACTCCTGATGATCCTCCCTTACCTCCGCCTCATCCTGCCCAGCCGGTCCGTTTGAAGCTTCTTCAAAGGCCTTCCTCTTGCCACACCCGGCCTCTTCTAACCGCGCCAACCTCTCTTCCAGCATCCCAGCTTGCCTCTGTATACCACTCAGCTCTCCTTGCGTTGACGCGGCCTCGGCTGGCTGCTCATGGACCTTACCAAGCCTGCATTCCACCCCATCCTCTGGGAACCTCAACTCCAGAGAAGCTTCCAGCTTATCCCAGGTTTGCGACCTCAGCATGAGGGTGTACACCTCCTCACTTAGTCCTTCACAAACGAACACGGGGAGCATGTACCACATCGTCTTCTCGTTCCACATCTTCGTAAGGCTAAAATCCTGAAAGTCACGCAAAAAGCTAAACAGGTTCCTTCCTTGGAACAGCAGGGCGCGGAGAGCTGGGGGCATTGACTCCTGCAACACTTCGTGCAACAATATCTTCAAGAGGCACGAAATCCTCCAAAGCAAGATCTTGGCGTAGCCGCTTTCTTCCGCCATGACGCTGATGGTAGCCTGATACGCATAACGGGCAATAGAACACCAAGGTGATTCAAGTAAGCTCAGGCAGGCAAAGGCAAACTGCTAATACTTAAATCACGCCACCTACCCCTTTTCTCATGCAATCAGGCCTCGTCCCCTAGTTATCCTGACGCTCCCATTTATAACTACGATAATGGGCAGAGAGACGACTCCGGCCAAGTCAAAGAAACACATTTAGTGGAGAAAGAGGCATTCTTTATCGGCCCACTGCTGCCCGAATCTCCTCCCAGTCTACATTTCCCTCATTCGGGTCATGAGACGAGGCGTATACGTCAACTGCATTGGCCGTGTTCCTGAGCCACTGACTAGGAGGCGAGAATTTCGGGTCTAAGTACAGACCATATATCAGTTCACATGTGTAACGCCCATACTCCCAATCTCGCGCCCTCAAAGGAGCTTCAGTTGCCGCCTCTGCCTTTGCCTGCCCACCAAAACTCTTCTCTATCAGAAACTCAGGCAGGATTACTCGCACCGGAGCAGATGGAAGCCCGAACTCTCCAGCGCGCTCGACCCTTACGCGGGTTAGTACTCACTCTTCCCCATTACGGGACACTTCCCTCGCCCACTTTGCTGCAGCTGCCTCTGGTACCCTCAGAGGCCTAGCAAGCAAGCTTCCGTGCCCAAGCGCTAACTCTATCCCATGCTCGATCCACAATGAGGGCGAGGCGTACAGCGTCACACTTACGATCGCACACTCCCGTCCATCATCAAACCCAGACTCGATCCAGACAAAGATGTTCGTGCCCATCAGCACGCCCCACCATGAAGAGAGGTACTCCCCCGCTCTAACCCGCTTGGGTAAAGAAACCTCGAGCCCTCCCTCTTTCTCGATTGGTCCGAGCATACGCGGATCTTCCCGTGCATAAGGCATCCTGAGTTGTCTTTGCTTTGTCTGGGTTCTGCCCATCACAGACAAACATCCAGCATACGCCTTCCGTCATTTTTAACTGACAATCCCTGCTCCTCTGGGAAGAGCGGTCCAGCCGTACAGACTTAATGGCCAACCATGAGCCAAATGCTGGACTGGAAACATTCGTATTAATTTCTACAGACTAATAAGATCCCAAGTATAACCCAATAAGATAACCCACACAAAATGTTTCTGAAAATGATATCTGCTTAAACATATAGCTTCACATAATTAGGCGTAAACTGGGCTTACAAGGACTGACATTCATGGATGAGTTCAATATACACCTCAAAATAATACCCTCAAAACAACCAGTTTCAAGTCTTTAGCTTCCTAGGTGGATGGTCCAAGCCTGGAACGGTTCATGCGGAGGCTAAAACATCAATTACAACTCATTGCCCAATTAAAGGTAAGTAGAATAGTCCAAGCGTTAGCTCCCTCACTGTTACTCTGACTACCTTTAGGATCAGATACCCTCCTCTAACAGGTGCCATGCAAGCCTACTACTTCCCGTTGCCCTTTCTATTGGGGTCTTACCACGGTGCTCACTGCGTCTCTTCATTGCCTTATACGCCTAGCCCAAACATGCCACACTGGAGAGGCCTAAGACTTCCCTGGCTATACAACCCAAGCGACTGCTTAAAACCCAGACTCAAGGAACCCAATCCATACTCGTACAACTTTCGACATCCGTAGCCTAACTACTCTCGAGGTCCCTTGATGACTTCTAAGACAATAGGCTTCCTTTACGTATCTCTATGCCTCACTCTAAAGCCAAGTGTTGTATCGCACCTTTGACCACTCAGGTAGTTTCCCTTAGCCACAATTGACACCTTACATGGCCAATTCCCACAACCACCACACTTAACTTGGCTGACCCCACCTCATCCTATCTTAGTTGTATCAAACATGCAAATCATCACCCAACCCTACCAACTATCGGGGTCAGAAGAGGTATCCACTCCAACTACCGTCATACTTAGTCAAAGTACACAAGTGCCTAGTCAAAGCACGTGCGCGCATAGTCAACGCATGTGGACGCATAGTCAAGGCTTATCCCTATCGCGCCATCCTTACTGCACCGACTATAACCAAATCGCACAATCAATCCTCACTTGGTCTCTATCCGATACCAACAATCGATTAACCATGAAAGTCAAAAGAAACTTCTTAATCTGCCTGTATCTCACATTCCAATACCCGGATGTCGTTCCACCAGGGACAACGGTAGGCAGCCGTTATCCCCGGCAACGGCGCCACCTGTCGGGCGCATCGGTCCGTCACCGCACGTGGCAGCGCGGGACCCTCTCGGCCGCGTCACGCAGGAGTTGGACCAACCTCGTCAAAAACGCGCAAATGGAGCTTCCTTAGGCCGCTCCGGCCGAGTGCGCCAGCCATACCTCTCGTGAGCCCCTACGAGAGGATAGGGCCTACGCGAGCCACAACTTACCTCCACCTTACAGGAGCTGTCACCTTCCTTCGGTGGGCGTATCCCCGCCAAGCTACCAATCCACAGTACGAAAGCTACTCGGTTGCAATCGCAGAGATGAACCAGCCGAGGGCGTTTCTCGTTCGCTGTAGCATAGGGGGCACGTGCGGTAATACGCCTATCGGACCCGCACGGGAACCGATATCTTGGGAAGGCTGAAGTCCCAAACGCGGCCCGACGTCGGTCGACTAGGACGCATCCCACACACCACGCGCACACCACTTTACGAACACAAAAATAAAACACACACACACACGCACACACAGTACGACACAACACAAACAACGCGACAACGCTCCTATTCCCTCGGTAGCCAACCCATAACTTCCCGACGTGAAAATCGGGTAGGAGTTGCGCGCAAGACTTTAATATAAAACCGCGCGGATGCAGGGCTAACTTATATCGACTCGTAATGCAAGCGTACGCAAGCGGTCGCAATGGTGGCGTACTATGTAGTACCCATACTCGCGCGGCCCTCTTTAAATCCGAGGGTGGCGTTCGACACTCAAGTGTCGGCTGACACGCGCCTTGAGGGTTAATCTCTCGACGCCGGACAACCGCCATGCGCGGTTGAAGACCACACACCCTCTTCTGCACTCT